ACAATGACAAACAGAAGTAAAAAAAAATTGTGAAAAAAAGTTACAAATTAGGATGTCAGTCTTTTCCTTTTCCTGGTTTAATCATATTTTTAGGCTCTTTAGAGGTTCTAATCTTCTGTTTATTCATAAAGCACAAAATAATACATCTGATTTGAATCTATCTTATTCATTTAAATAACACGCAGCTGTCATTTTGCACATCTCTGATGGTGCTGCTTTTTCCAAATAGCCAGTAGTGTAAAAAATGTCATTAGCTGTATATTGGTTATTTATTTATATAGTTAAAACACTTTATAGTACAGTATTTTATTTGTTTATTTTTTAAATCTTCACTATTATATTATTCTTATTTATAAGGTCCAAATTTGTGTGGCTATTTTTATTCTATATCTTTTTGCTGCTGTAAACACCAGAATTTCTCCATTGTGGGACAATAAAGGGATTTTCTATTCTATTCTATTGAATAAACTCATAAAAGTGCATACAGTTGCAATAAGCTTGTGCCATTATTGGGCCATAATGGCAGAGAGTTAATAAAGGTAATAGATTTTAATTATTTTATCCTTGGACCTATCCAATCAGGAACAAACTCTAATCTCTGATAAATCGATAATAAATGTGTCTATCTGAAATAAAAACTGTTCCCTCATCCAGAAGACATGTTTAGCCTTTCACTCAACAACCGAGGTCAGGTTACTGTTGGCTCCTGTCCTCTCTGGCTGGAGGTTAAGGTCATCAGGGAGCCAGAAATTCACAGAACCACAAGACACCGCTAGAAGCTCCAAAATCCCAACGCAGGCACAACCTGCCTCCATGTCCAACACTTATGCTGGATGTGAGACCCTATTTTAAAACTTCACTTGAATTCACCAGATTAGATTCAAATCACATGGACCGATCCTGTCACCTCATTTACAGCTGGTGAAATTTAATCACTTCATTACAATTTATCAACTCCAATATGCGCATAAAAATAGATGATTTAATACTTTTTAACATTGAGGGTGCTTTTATGTATGTTTTTTTCCAGCTGCATAACATTAGCACATACTAATTTGCAGCCAACTCCTCGTCTGACAACTTCTATTACCGTGTGCGCAGATCCACGGTGGCTCCACGGGGTTATTACGCACTGAATACTGTTTTGCGCCGCTTTTCCAACGCTTTGCGGACAAGATGACTAACTCTGAGGGATTTATTTCCTTATGATAACAGTTCAGAGATCTTGCAAGAAGCTACGTGGGAGCTTGTAACCGGTGTTTAATGAACATAAGTAAACTCTACTCAACTAGAAGTCAGGTACAGATAGGTGGGAGAAAAAAAGAAATGTGTCCCAAATCCACTCTACGTCTCCCTCTTGCGCTCCTCTCCTCTCCCTGACAGTTACCGCCGCCACACTCCGCAACATTGTTTCTATTTCCGTTACTCACCTTTACTCCCGAGTCCGTCGCTGTATATAGACACTCTATATCGGTGACTCCAGTGGATAAACGTAATTTCAGTTCACATTTACACACTGACTGCTATTTTAGGGGGAGCCGACAAACTCAGAAAAGGCCAATCTCCCTCTTGTCAGTGCGAGACTCCTCCCCATCTGACGAGTTGCCTGCTTCTCCTCTGCTCCCTCCCCTCCGATCCTCCTCCTTTCAGTTTTCTCGTAGTCCCACAAACCTGAGAAAACTCAATACAATTTAAACCAGTGACGGAAATCATAGCTAATATAATATAATATAAAAATAATATGAAATAATATAATATACAATTTTATAACCCGAAAGTATTACATATAAAAAAAAATATAGTTTCCTAACGTCCCTCTTCTGCTTTTTTGTATTTTTAATAAAATATATTTTCTTATCCTACATTTACAGTAGTAGTTGAACTGCATTTAAAGGTCACCTCCTGCGGCCAATTACATTCTGCAGCGTCTGTTCGGCATCCTATCAGGAAAGAGGGCAGATTTATTTTTCATACCATTATGTGTGTGAGGAGGATCAACCTTTAGGTTATTCTGAGAGTGGAGTGGAAGCAGGTCCGAATGAGAAACCTACTAATCAGTGGCGTTAACTATAAGCAGAGTCTGCAATTGCTTTGGGGCCCCGACCTCTCAGAGGCCCCCTATACAATTGTGGACTAGGATTCTTTGCAGATGGTGCAAAAAATATATATTTCGCAACTGCATTGCAGCCTTGTGTTTATGGTCATTGTTCTTGAGGGTCATAAACTGTCCCAGTTTTTGATATTTTGCTGCTAGTGAAATGTCTTCTCCCAGGTGTATCTTTACCTCCTAATCTGCTTTCCTGTCCCTGTTACAGAAAAGTATTCCCACAGCATGATACTGCCACCGCTGTATTGTATTTCACATTTAGAATGATGTGTTCAGGGTGAAATGCAGTGTCCGTTTCCCATCACAGAAAACAGTTTCCATCAAGGTAGACAAGTTTAGTTTTGGTCTCTAGAACAAAAATGTTGTCCACATGTTTTGTGGTAGCTTGAATGAGAGTGTATAACCAATTGTTGTTCTTTCAACAGTTTCTCCCAACTGAGTTATATATATTTACAGCTATTCCTTAATCAGTGCTTCTCATGTTAGTTCAGGTCAGGTGAGTACATTATATCTTATTTAAGGACAGGAGTTAAAAATGAGCATTAGCTGAAAACTTTTTTTTCACATCTCATCATTAGCAAATGTTTTTACTATGTTTGATGGCACTGACCTCAAATAAATAGATTTCAATCTGAAAATCTCCCACAAAGAGAAAAGACAATTAGAAGAAATTAAGTGATACAACTATTTGGTCATTTGTGCTCAGACCTCGGCAGGAAACATAGTGCTGAATTTTGATAGATATGCATGAACAGGAGTACAGAATAGGCCCGCCGCCCCCCAGGCCTGAAACTGGTGGTGGACTGGAGGTAGATAATGTCTGTCAGTCTGTAGACTGCTGATTAGCGAGACGGCATGCTGAGCTTTGTGGGGAGATCCAGTGGACTGCCTGAGATGATACAAGAGCTTAACTCAGGGACCTGGAAGATGGAAGTCTAGTTTGGATAACACAGGTTGAGAGAACCTCTCCAGGATGAGCAAGCATGAAGGGACAGTAGAGAGGAAAAGTTCTCTGTTGTGAAGAAACCTCTGGCAGAACCAGGCTCAACATGACGGTGTTCTGCCGGACAGGTTGAAATGAGACGTGGAAGGAAGCAAGAGACCAGGAGCAATGAAACTCCAATGAAGCTTTAGCTATGATGGTGGAGGACGGGCTGGAGTTGGGTTGAAACGGGGTCATCTGAATGAAATCACACAGCGCAACCACTGCCTGCGGACTAGGTAGCAGACGAGTTGCAGATTGGAGGCCTTATAAGATAAACGTTGGATGCCAATTGGCTTTTGTGATGGTATGGTTCAAAGCTGATTGGCTATGTCGTAGGTGGATGTAGGGGAGTAATCAGTTTCTTCAGTTAACTTCCGCCTAGGCTTCATTAGATGACAATTCTAAATAATTGATTGAAGATAGACTGCATTTTTACAGCACAACTTCCTTGATTAGAAATTTGGAGAAGGGTCCTCACTGTTCTCACTGTGTGTGTGTGGAAACTCTATCCCCAAACCAACCAGGTTAACCTCTCCGTGTGTTTCTCTTTAGCTTCATGGTGCCGTTTATTTTACCAATGCTGTCTAACTAACCTCTGAGGCCTTCACAAGGGCAGCTGTATTTATAAGTACATGAATGGTTATCTGTTGTCTGAGTTTAAAATTTTACCCTATGGAATAGAGAGCTATCCAGGTGTGTACCCAGCCTTTTGCGCAGCTGATGGCACTGGACACTAGCCCCCTTCAATGTTATCCATATTAGGGTGGTAAAAAAAGAAGAAATGTGTGGGATATGTTATTGCTACAAATTTTTTTTAACCATATCTGTATACCCAACCCATTTTGTGTTGTTTCCCTAGCCTTTGTTGATGCTGTTTTTTGTTTTTTTATAATGTTCTGAGGCCTTTAAAGGAGAGCTGTAGGTATACCAAGATTAATTAAGGAGACTGTTCAGTGAATAGATGATTTCTGCAGCTATTTGGTTGCAATAGAATTTATTTAGGGGCGTCTTAGCAAAGGCTGGTGAATACAAACGCATACCAATTTTTTTTACGTTTTTTTTTTTTTTTCCCCTGTGATGTGTGGTGCTGGGCATGTCTTACACAACATAAGCATTCTTAAAAAGAAAATGGTGCGCATCGGGTGGAATCTCTTCTATCTTTCTTTCTGAGGTAACCAGGTCGTATGAAAGTGGAAACTCCACGTGAGTTTTTTTCCTTTTTTTACTGAACATGTTTTCTCCTTTTTTGCGGCTAGACTGGGAGCTTCTAGTTTTGAACCACGCAGCTTTGTCTTTCTTTACTTTCCAGGAAGTAGGGGGAGTTTATTGTTCTGTCTTTTAAGACCCTCAACATGTATGTAGTCTTCTCACAGCATGTAGTAGGTTTTTGTTTTTAATTCTACCCAATCATACAGTAAAAATCAGGACTTTTCATACTTGAAATTAAGTTTACACCTTTAATTTAGGGGTAGATAAAAAAAATAATTTGACAGTTAAAATGGTTCTTATGATACAGTAAGCTTAAACCCTCATTCTACCTGGCTGTTTTTCTTTTTTCAGGGGTTTCAATGAAGAAGAAGATCGGTATTTTAACATCTATCGCTACCAGGCTCTTCCACAAGGTTACACCACATGCCTCTTTCTCCTTTCCCAAACATTGACATTTCTGCAATAATGTATAACCCTCATGTTCCGCAATGTAAGAAACCCTTTACATGTTCTGTCTTCATCAAAATAGTTAGATATTGTACTCATACCTACAGTAGTATGATACAATAGGATTGCAAGATGACATATTCTTGGTTAATAATGAAAACTGAAGACACATTTTTCACATCACAACTGACTCCTATTATATTTTAAATCCTTTGTAAGAAATCAGACCCCTGTGTAGCCGAAGATACTTACCTGTTGATCCAGCAACACTTTCACAGAGCCTGCTCCAGCTTCCACCTTTCTTCCTTTGAGTGAATTCACTTTTCTTATCTCGTCTTTTAGTTCACACTACAGCTCATCCCCTTTTTGATTCTCTCTGTCACTCTGTCCATTGATTAGCCTCAAAGCCAGACCAGCTGGCTTTGAATACATCCCCTCAAGTCTTGAGAGGGCCTGTCTTCACACCCTGCTCCCACTCTTGTCCCCTGGCTTCTCTACAGGCAGAGAGCAAGGAGGGGGAGCAGTTTGAAGAGTTGGACCCCTGATGGACGTTGACATATCGGGCATGCATTACGTGACAAGGCTTGGCTCAGGGCTCCCTGGATCAGCCACAGCTGTCATTCATTATTCCAGGAGGTGCAAATAATTTCTCTTCTTCTTATAGATGTGTGAAAAAAATTAATCCATTACTTCACTAAATATATTTTCTGAAAAATATTTCTTGAGATTGATTTCTGTTTAAGAAAAATTCAAGCTGAATCTTTTCTGGTTTCCATATTATATGATCCCTATCAGCACTTCTAGAAAGGAGATATGAAATATGATTAATCAAAATGTCCCACATTATGCAAAAATTTATATACAGCTTTAGCAGTCTCACCCTTATTGGCACTTAAGTTGTTAAAACTCTCGCAACCCCTCTGGACAGCAGTAAATCAGCAGTCTGTGATGATTTTTCTTTGCACACTCTGTTAATCAGTCCAGACATTTTGACATACAGGCCAAGATCATTGACCTGAATTTTCTCTAAATTTACTGAAAACTCAATAATTTTTATTGTAGCTGAATGTAGCTGAGTACATGTAACTAGTTATTACCCACCTCTGTATATTTATATATATATATATATATATATATATATATATATATATATATATATATATATATATATATATATATATATATATATATATATATATATATATATATATATATAGATTGCTCAAAAAAATAAAGGGAAGATGTAAACAACACAATATAACTTCAATCATTTCAAACATCTGTAAAATCAAACTGTCCACTTAGAAGCAACACTGACTGCAAATCAATTTCACATGCTGTTGTGCAAATGAAATAGACAACAGTTGGAAATTATTGACAACTAGCAAGACACACTCAATAAAGGAGTTATTCTGCAGGTGGGAACCACATACCACTTCTCAGTACCTATACTTTCTGGCTGATGTTTGTTCACTCTTAAATGACGGTGGTGCTTTCACACTTGTGGTAAAATGAGACAGACTCTACAACCCACACAAGTGGCTCATCCAGGCTAGCACATCAATGTGAGCTGTGGCAAGAAGGTTTGCTGTCTTTGTCAACGAAGTGTCCAGAGGCTGGATCGTCTACCAGAAGACAGGGCAGTACACCAGGAGATGTGGATTGGGCCGCAGGGTGGCAACAACCCAGCAGCAGGACCACTACCTCCAAATCTGTACAAAGAGGAACAGGAGGAAGAGTGCAAGAGCCCTGCAAAATCAGCTCCAACAGGCCACTAATGTGGATATCTCTGAAAAAATGGCTATAAACCAATTCCATGAGGATGGTATGAGGGCTTGACATCCACAGATAGAGGTTATAAGTATTGAATGTGCCACCATTTTTCTCAGTAAATATATTTCTAGAGGTGCCTTTGACATGACATTTTTACCAGATGTCGGTGAACAATCCATGCAATCCACACATACAAAGAAATCAAACAATGGATGTCCACACGTTAAGTTATATATAACAATGTAAGATAGCACAGGGAAAAAGTATAGAACACATACAGTAAAGAAAGGGAGGTGCAAAAAGGTATGGAAAGCAAAAACTCCTGCCAAAATCTCTCAGTAATTAGAAAGCAATCCTGCCCAGCCGTCAGCGAAAATAATATCAGCAGGTTCAGTCCCAAATTATGGCCTATAAAAAGGTGTCTCTGGAATCAAATAAGAAACATCTCATGATGGGTAAATAGCTTTCTCACAGACGTATTGTTGCAATTAATGATGGTTTTGTTGCATTGAATGATTGGTTACAGAAGGATTTCTAAACCTCTGAATGTTCCAGTGAGCCCTGTTGGGGCCATAATCCAGAAGTGGAAAGAACATATTTTCACCTTACACTGACTTACCAGGTGCTCCTCGCAAGATTTCTGAGGAGTGAAAAGAATAATCAGAAGAGTTTTCCAAGATCCAAAGACCAATCACGGAGAGCTGTAGAAATACCTGGAATTTGCAGGTACAATTGTTTCAAAGAAAAAAGTAAGTAATGCTGCCAACTGCCATGAAAAAAAAAAACCTGAAAAAGCATGTTGAAGCTCGTTTGAAGGTTGCTACACAACATTAGGGAATCCTGTGAAATACTGGGAGAATCTAGCTTGGCCAGATGACACAAAAATTTAACTCTTTAAATGGCATACAGTAATACACATCATGTTTGGAGGTCAAATGGCACTGCACATCACCCAAAAAACACCATACCAACAGTGAAGTTTTGAAGTTTGGAATATCATTCTGTGGGTCTGTTTTTCTTTCAAATAAACTTCAAATAATTGAAGGAAGGATGAATGGAAAAATGTACTAAGACAAAGACAAAAATCTGCTGCCATCTACCATAATGATGAAGATGAAACATGGATGGACATTTCAGCAAGACAATGACCCCAAACACACAGCCAAGGAAACAATTGTTTTCAGAGAAAGAAAAAAAAGCTGCTAGAAAGGCCCAGCCAATCACCTGACTTGAATCCAATAGAAAATATATGAAAAGAAGTAAAGCTCAGAGTTCAGAGAAAAAGCTCACACAGCCTACAACACATTTTGTTTGGAATGATTGGCCAAAATCACACCTGAGCAATGCATGCAACTAATTTCTCCATACAGGAGGCTTCTTGAAGCTGTCATTGCCAACAAAAACTCTTGTGCAAAGTATTAAGAAATATCAGTAAGTGTGTTCAGTACCTTTTCCCTGTATCATCTTCGGTTTGGTTACTTTCTATGTGTGGATTCATTTACTACCCAACAAACAAGTAGATCCATGTTCAAAAGAATGAACATGGATCCCTCTTTAATTGAAAAAAAACTGTTGTATACAGTATATTTTAAGTAATAAGTACCCATTCTTTGATGTGTGTATTTCTAACGTCTAGGAATTTTAAATTAATGTAAAATCATGGTTAATAAAAGACTATAAAAGATGTTTGAATTTATGATTTTTTTCAGGCTTTAAAGAACATTATCTTGTTTTCAATGGGTGAGTTGACTTGTCCATCTGAATCAACTGCCTGTGCTGCCCTGACAAATTTCTACCATTCTTAAACTGTTGTCACAGACCTCACAAATTCATTTGGAGGGCCACAAATGGCCATCTGAGTTGTACTTTGCACTGCCCTTTACAAGATCATAAACAGCTCAGAGTCTTCACTCGTGCTTTGAACCCAGCTCTTGGATCTGTATATACCAGGGGTCCCAGATTAGCAGGCCAGGGTCCAGATCTGGACCCACCTGCTGGCTAATCTGGACCCAACCTGATTTAGAACATTTCTAAATGACTGCATGTTGTCCGACAACAGTGTCTAAACGTCACTTGCGCCGCTTCTCCTGTTAACTTGGTAAAGCACTCCAGACTATCCGGGACCAGGCTACATGTGACACAAATTAGCCAATGAGCTTTCAGTATGGGCTGCTGCTGTTAGCTACTTTTAGACATAGCAGGCAAACCTGTGGCAAGTCGGGCGAAGGGAAAGAAGGAGAAGACGATGAGGAAAAGTGAAAGAAAGTGTGGACTGCTGGAGGAACTGCGGTGAACTTGTGAAAGAAAAGCAAAATGGTGTGCTCAAAGATGACTCTTGGCATTTTGAGTATGCTTGGCTCAACCTACTGCTGTGACGTACTGTAGGATTCCCCACCATGAACATATTCAAAAATAAATGTTGATCCAGGTTTACAAATGAGCTCCTTGATATGTGCTTGAGAATGGCTTTGTCACCATTTAAACCCAGGTTTAAAGCCTCGCAGGTCAGCCTAAAGCCCGCTTCTTACATTAAGCCATAAAAAAAGAAGAAAAAAAACCCTGGCAAGTTCAGGTGTTTTATAAAACAAATCAGAAAATTGTCTACATACCAAACTGAAAGATGTTCTCTGTTCTTTACTCTCTATGGTTCTCAACTTGAAAAAAAAAAAAAAAAAAATATTTTTTTTTTATCAAAAAGTCGATGTATAACAAGGATGCATAATGCCTCATTTTATTTCAGTGTTAAATGCTGCTTAAAGTAATAGATTTTCATAAAAAAGTCATGTATTATTAATACTACAATGCAATAAAAAATATTTATTTGAAATAAATAGCTTATAATAATACTTATAGACAGAATGATGACTATTAATATATATATATATATATATATATGGTTATATGTCACACAGAAAACTATGAAGCCATTTCAGCGAGATAGGCAGAATAATGGTTTGTTCCAGCAAGGCTTTGATTTAGAGCCGACAGCTGGCATTTTCAACATTGCACCAGACCACAAATAGACACAGACAGTCTTTTCTATCCAATTAAAAGTGCATTCAGCAAGCTTAATTTTAGAATATAAAAGTCAAGCCTGATCCATGATATTAGAGCATGGGAAAAACAAAATATTTTGTCTGAAGATGAGAAAGCACAAACAGACCTCAAAGGTGTCAGACTGAAATAATGCTCTACAGGGCTTTTTAGGAAACCTTTTAAGAAAATGTTACAACACCGAGTCCTCCACCTGCCGCTTAGCTATGTTGCCTTTAATATATTTTCTTCCCCACAAAAACTATACAATACAAAAAGGAGTAAAGATTCTGTTCCATAATCATGAGTTCATTTTCTAAGAAAACCAGTGGCCAATTTAAGTGTTATTAAACTAATTTTAATCATGTTACAGATATGAAAGTCCTCCAACAAAGTTGCAACCAAATCAACACCATTGATGTGTTAGATAATCAAAATGGGAATCTAAAAATACTCCATGAGTCACAGTCTGAAAGTCTCTCATTACCCGCTGTAATTAAAAGTAACCAAGGCCTCCCAGCTCCAAATAGCACAGAAGTGTTGGGGAGTGACACTCAAAAGGCTCCAAGTTCCCTAGGAGAAGTGGAGCGGTTAACTGGAGCTAGGCCTGCCCCAAAAAACGTGGCTCAGCAGAAAGGATGCTTTTGGAAATGTTTACAATAGCTAAATATTCAATCTACAGCAGCTTCATATATTTCTTA